TTTGAATATCGGAAAAAGGAAGGAGAAAAGATCCGGAAGAAATATCCCGACAGAGTCCCGGTAAGTGGAATGAGGAGGGGGGAGGGGGGAGGGAAGGGAAGATGGGGGAGGGGGCGAAGGATGAATTGTTGGACAGTCATGATGGCTGCTCCGAGGAACAAGAAAGGTATCCAGAGAAGGCCGATCCTTACAAATTCCTTAACCCCCGACCTTCCTCCTTTGCCACTGGAGCCGGTGGAAATTCAGACCTTGGACCTTTTCTAAACCCGTATCTCCAGGGCCTCTATCCCCATCTTCATAACTGTCCCCATCTATAGAGCGGAGGCAGTGTCTCCAGTGACTCAGCAATTTTCAGAAGATGTGGACTTGTGCGGGTTTAGGATCCCAGTTTACAGCGTTTAGAGGAGGTCAGGAAATTGCTATGGGAACAACTGAAACACCCTCCCAGCTACCACTATAGGTTCACTCTGATCTGGTATCATTGTGGTGGGAAAAAGATGGAAAACCACGAGATAGATTCTTTCATGTAATTTTGTAGGGATTGAGGAGGGGTGCAGCACAAGACAGGCCTGGCCTAGAAAACAAGGTCATACTCTTTTTTTTTTTTTTTCTGCGCAACAACCCGTTTGCCTCATCATTCTTGGCTAAGGTTTAGGGACTGCCCGTTTCTCCCTACTTAATCTCATCAGATCATACCCAGACCGAAGACTGATCAAGGCCTCTTTTTTCTATATTGTCACTTAATGCTGGTAATTAAAAAACAAGTGCCGGAGGAGGAAAAAGGTGACATGATTAAGGCATCTTTTAGCATCCGGGCTTTTTTCGTTCCCTCCTCCCCCTCCCACTTGCCTGGTTTCTTCACCATAGGCTGCGCAGACAGAATGGAAGCTCAGGCAGCAGTGACATAGTGACTAGCAGTTTTGGGATTTGAGAGATAGAAGACAAGTGACCTTATGATTATACCCTTTATCTTCAGAGTTAGTTGGTTAACTGATAAGAGAAATTTTATTCAGGTAAAGGCATTGTAAATGTAACAGGTAAAGAGATGACACTTAAATAATATCCTTTCCTGACCTGCAGGCATTTCCTGGGCCTTTTTTGAAATCCTTAAGGACTTTTGTTGCTTGGGACTTTATAGCTCCAAAACGTGATCTTGAACCTTAACCCAACAGTGCCACCTTTCAGACATTTTCCAATAAAGAACTGTCCCGTTTTCTGGGGATTATACACAAAAGAGGTTTTGGCTAGAAATGAGAGCTAGCCTGTTACCCAGTAAGAATTCCTTACAGTTTATTTTCCTGGTGTCTGGATTGTGGGTGACCTCAGATGAACTTCTGGTGGCACCAGTTCCACTTTTTAGTAGCAATATTAGAGCCAATATTCACTGATGTCTTGCCCTTTACTTGGCATTATTATAAGTGTTCTCTAGATAGTCATCAGGTTAATCTCCATACCATTATTGTAATCATCATTCTATAGATGAAGAAACTGAATTACTGCAACATAAAGTAACTCTGCTGTTGGTCTGTTGCCAAACTGATATTTTGACTTCACCTGCCATGCATAGTTAGTTACTTAAACTACATGCCACCCTGTTACTTAATAGCTAAGTGTACATTGTTTGTCTCTTAATGTTAGGTATTGAAATTTCTTAGCTAATACCTAAATGATAAGTAAACTATCAGTGCCCTCAGGAGGTCACAGGGTGGTAACTCAGTAAAGTAAGCAAATTAACTAGTATTGATTCAGGACTTGTATAAGGCCTTGTGCCAGTTCTTCTTAGGTGCCATCGAATTGACTATGACTTATAGCGACCTTATGAACAACAGATTTGAACCTTGCCCTATCCTGTGCCATCCTCACAATCTCCATCATGTTCCAGCTCATTGTTACAATCACTGATCAGTCCATCTGATTGAAGCCTCCCTTTATTTGACTGGCCCTCCATCTTTCTCTGCCTGATTGTCTTTTTCCGAGGATCGAGGATCGACTCCTCCTGCCAAGTTTGATGATCCTTGCTTCTGGAGAATACCCTGGCAGTTGTTCTTTCAAGACACATTTGTTTGTTCTTTTGGCAGTCTATGGTACAAATTCAATAATCTCCCAATACTACAATTCATAGGCATCAGTTCTTCATCTACCATATTCATTGTTCAACTTTTGGATGCATAGGAAGCAATTGAAAATACCATGGCTTGTAACAAGTGTACTTGTGCCAGTAGTTTTACAACTGACATTTACCTGTACCCTAAATCTGATTAAATTCTCTATATTTCCCCCAAACTGGGCTCGCCATTTCATTTATTGACATGATTCCAGAATATTTCACTTTTCTGCCCCTTTTCTTGTAGGACTAACAGTGGACCTTCTTTCTTTCTCTTAGATTTGATTAACTTTGCTACCTTCAGCCCATCTTCGTTGTTGGGCCTTTACTGGTGTCTCCACAATGTTCATCTTTTTCTTTTAAATTTCTGACTCATGTCTTTCTACTTCATTTTATTTTTAAATGTAAATTATAGTCTTGTCATTTTGGTATTTTTGGTGCAAGATTTTTATAAAAATAAGTTTTCACAATTTTTGTCTACCCTCTTTATTTGAAATGTGTCACTCTGTTCTCCATGCTGATCCTTGTGGTTTTTTGTTTTTTGCTGAGTACTGGCCAATTTCAGGACTCTTAGCTGGCCCTCCAGTGGGCTTTCAAATGCTGTAAATCACACAGGAACAGATTGCCTTATAGAGCAGCTGGTGAATTCAAACTGTGTACCATCGGGTTGGCAGTGCAGTTCCTTTCCAGTAAACCAGCAGAATTCTCTTTTGTTTAGTTTTTGAGTACTACTCATAGCGACCCTGTGAACAACAGATCTGAACCCTCTCCCTATCCTGTGCCATCTTCATACTTCCTGACCACCAGAGCCCATTGTGTCAGTCACCATGTCATTCTACCTGGTCGAGGGTCTTCCTCTCCTTTGCTGACTCTCTGCCCTTGCAAGCATCATGTCACTCTCCAAGGAAAAGCCCCTCCTGGCAACATACCCAAAGTATGTGAAGTAAAGTTCTTGCTAATTTATGAAGCTTTTTTATCTGAAGTTTCATGGTTTACTCAATTTTACATTGTAAAATTTTTACATGGTAAGAAGTCTTTTTACTTCTTATATATATATTTTTTTCCTAGACATGTGTGATATTTATAAAACAGTTCTAAGAGAGAACATTGATATATAGACTATACTGACAATATAAAATGTTATTATACTTTAAGAACTGTTTCTAAAGCTGTAATACTTTCATTTCAAGTATTTCCTTGTCAGCGATTTTTAAACATTTTGACATTACATAGTTTAAGCCACATTATTCGTAGCTTTAATAAATGGCCTCCATAGGAAAAAGCTTAGGTGATCATGACCTTCTTAGAAAAATCCAGTCAGTTTTCCCGATTCTCTATTAAAAATAAGGAAGCCTTTAAAAGCTTGTGTCCTAGAGCATACCTTCGTAGTTTAACTTTGTAATAATTTAAATTCAGGAGTCTCTTAGTTTTTATCCTATTCCTTCTTATTCTAGTAATGACACTGTAATCTTACTCAGTAAAGATATTTAAATAAATCCATTTCTCCATGTATTTTGTAAGGATCAGGGTGAGAAGAAACAAGGTCTCTAAATAGGCAAATGGAGGATGTGAAAAGGAGCTAAGATTTTGAATTCTTATTTCACCCTTACTCTCCTCCCAGGTGATCGTGGAGAAGGCTCCCAAAGCCAGGGTGCCTGATCTGGACAAGAGGAAGTATTTAGTGCCCTCAGATCTCACAGGTAATTTAATGTTCTTGCTCCTCCCCTAACTCTTTCTTCTTTTTTAAATTTATCAAATCTTATTAAAAAAGCCTCAAGGGATATTCTCCAGAAAATAGATATGAATGATACTATTAGTCTTCTCCCACCACTGATTCATCAGAGCATTCCCACAAGTGTCTTACTAGAAGTAGACACAAAAATTGCAAAATATTGAGAGGTCAGATTCTTTAAAAATCTTAAAAATGAGTTTTTGTCTCATGAAATCATTTTTCCAAAGGGAAACCAGGTTGTGGGCTGATTACTTTTTAGAGATGGCTCAGCTCAGCTCATTACTTACCTTTGCCAGCTAGAATTCTTCTTGGGAATTATGCTCAGTCTGTCTTGAATCTTGATCATTACTTGAATCCTGCTACATCTAGAAGACTCTAATAAGACAATAGATGTGTTTGCTAGAGAGTTAATACATTTGAATATCAACCTTTTGAAATTTTGTCAGTCTTCTAGGAAAAGGTAATGTTTTGAATACTAACTCTGAAATTAGTTTACCATGCTAATAATAGTGGAAAGAGTAAACCTCACTTAACATTACAGAGATTATGTTGTCTAAGGGTGGAGGTATAATTGGAAGTGAGTGTTAAATCAGATTAAAACAATAATGAAAATGTTTTTGTTGAATGTTGTTGTTGATTGCCTTTGAGTCGAGCAGGACCCTATGAACAAAAGACCTGAAGCCTTTTTATATAAAAACTGTCGACATTCATCAAAGTTCATAGTTTCTAGAGTCATGTTGTTTAGGGAGTAGATGCCACTTCTGCTCCCAAATACATACGCATGTAGTAGATAGGGTGACATTTAGGTCTAAAATAGAGTTAAGTTGAAAGGAATAGACATGTATTCTTGAATTTCACTTTATTTCTAAAGTACTAGGAAAGTATTGTGGTGTTCTGCTATATAAACCTGGCACCTCTTGCAAAGAGAACAGCTCTAAAAGATTTTTTCCCTCCCAAGACTTACTCTTTTTTAATCTGTTGTTTTCTCCTTCCTGCCTTCATCCAGTTGGTCAATTCTATTTCTTAATCCGGAAGAGGATTCACCTGCGACCTGAGGACGCCTTATTCTTCTTTGTCAACAACACTATCCCTCCCACTAGTGCTACCATGGGCCAGCTGTATGAGGTAATGGTCTCAGTCATAACACTATGGCACAGTCTAGCATTCTCTAGCTTTTGTTTCAAGGTGTGCTGATAACACACCTAGAAAGTGGGGCAGGTGGTGTCATTTATCAGGATCCTCTTACATGTGGCAGTATAAGGCTCTGGGAGATTAGGTGCCGCTCGTCCTTTAGGGATTGAGCACTGCATCAGATCTAATCCTTTTGAATTCTTTTCAATTCTCCTTTAGTATGGTGTTTCAGTGTTGAATTGTCTTTATTGAAATAGCAGAAAGTGTTTCCAGATAGTGGTGAAAATCCTCTTCCCAGTGCTTTCCCCCCCCCCCAATATTATTAACATATTGAACTTAGAATTGATCTATGCATTTAGGTCACAGTTTATTCTCTTTTTCAGCTAGACTGAGAAAATAATTATGATAAACTAGCACCTTCTTTCTCTGAAACCAACATTTTCAAACTCTGATCAACTCCTGTACTAAATGAGCAGCTCAGCTACTCAGTGGTTTTGTGTCAGAATGTACTAGTAGCTGACCCTCTAGCAGTTTTTGGAGGCTGTAAATTGCTTGGAAGAAAATTGCCTTTCTCCCAAGGAGTTGCTGGTGGATTTGAACTCCTAGAGAGGTCTCCCTTTGGGTTAATAGCACAGCTATGAACTATGTCACCAGAGCTCTACTAGTTGGTATTAAAATGTAGTTCTGCCTAGTGGGCAAATTTTCACGTTTTACTGTGTAAACGTGTAATAATTTTTATTCTATAGCATATATACCATAGTAATGTATTTCTCTTGTAGTATATACTTTGTAATACCTCCTAAAGATTGACGTTGTCTGGGCTTTAATTTTACTTGGCTACGTAAAATGTGGAAATGACTTTGCAAGGATCTACCTCCAGGGATCTCTCTAAAGTGCTGGAAAGCATATCTCTTTGACAACCATAATGTGTGTCTAATAATGGTATTTTCTGTTGCTTCTGGTGGCCTACTGGTAGGGAGTGGTTCTACCAACATAAAGACAGACAATTCAAATAGGTGGGCATTCTTCCTCTCTTGTACTTCAAAGTCTCTGAAATCTCTCTGATGGGTCAGCTATGAGTTCTGACTTGATAAAAATGTGAGAGTTGGATATGATGAATAAGGAAAATCAAAGAACTTGAATCGTGATGTTGGCAGAGAATATTGTATATACCTGTGGACTACCAAAAGAACAAAGCAGGATAAGTATGTAAGAGGAAGACCCTCAGTGAGATGGACTCACATAGTGGCTGCAACTATGAATTAAATCAGCACAAATTGTGAAGACTGCACAGGATCAGGCATATTGTACATTTTTGTCTGTAAGGTTGCTATGAATTAGAGCCAACTCATTGGCGCTTATCAATATGCTTCTGGTATTTCACTACTTACTAGTGAACTAATCTTCCTCCCCTTTTTAAGTTAGCCTGTGTTTGACATGTATCCATACTTCATTTCTTTCTATGGCTGACTGATAGTCGTTTGGATGTGTACACCACAGTTAGTCCATTTGTCCATTGATAGACATTTGTGGCCTTTGTATTGAATAGCACTGCTGTGAATATGCATATGTTTGTTTTCAGTTTTTTTGTATGTAATTTGGAGTGTTTTCAGATGAGATCCTTAACAGTAATACTAGTAATAATGAAGAGTAGACTTTTCCTTGCCATCTTCAAATTGTCAGTACCCGTGTGTTTTAGATTCTTTATGATGGTGTTTTTGTTTATGAACCCAGAGCTAAAATTTAAACTGCTTTGACTTTTTATTCCTCCTCCCCTCTCCTACCCCTGATCCTTTTTGGTGCCAAAACCCAGGAATGAATCTTTGTTCCTTTTTAAAAAGGCCACTGTATCTTTCACTCCTATATTACAAGATTATGTGAGGCTCAGAATTCTAGGTAATGAACGTAAATGCCTTTTCTAAGTGTTGTCCTCACTCTCTTCCCCTAGGACAACCATGAGGAAGACTATTTTCTGTATGTGGCCTACAGTGACGAGAGTGTCTACGGGAAGTAGACAGTGGTGGAAGCCCAACACCTGGACTTGGGGGTTAGGGGGAGGGGTGTGTGTGTGGAATTTGGGGAAAGAAACGGCTTCTACCATAAGAAGACAGAAGACAGAAGACAGAGACATCTGGAAACACTACACTGCACACACCGTCATCGTATTTTCACACGCTCTATTGATGTTTTTTGCTGCTGCCTTGGCCTGGGGTGGGGGGGGAGGGGGGGCGGAAATATGTAAGGACCTAGCTGTTGGATTGGTTTTGGTAAGATTAAAAATGGGAATGCCACTGTACTACCACAAAGTCATTTTTGTGTAATTTTATAGAAAAATCAGGAGGTGGGCAAGTTTGGGCCAGAAAGGACTGTGGTCCAGCAGCACCTTCCTGTTCTCTCTTCTCTTTGGGCAGAGATTCTATTTTTGACATTTGCACAAGATGGCAGGGAAGAGGGAATGGGAATGTTTTCGAACTACTGATAATGGACCATTCCTGGGGACCAAAAGAAAATTCCACTATGTGTAAAGCATTGTCACCCCCTATTCCTCCCCTGCATCCCATCCCCATCATAATCTCACCCATATACATCACACCTTGTGACATCAGGACTGAAGCTCTCTTTTGGAAAGGATTTAGATGGTTATTCTGAAGATAGTCTTGATAGTGTTAAACTGGAATTGACTGAGAATGAAGCATCTCTGCCTAACCTTTATTTCTGGTGCCCAGTAACTCACATATACTGTGGACTTGGTTGAATCTCAGACATCTCTAATCACTGGCTAAAACCACTTCTCTAGTGTGTCCCAAACTTGACTCTATACTTAGGAACAGAGATGTCTTAGGTCATGAAGGGGTAGGTGAGAGGCAGTATAGATGCTCTACACTTCCTACTCATCCAGAATTCTTGCTCCCTTACTGCTTGATTTCCACTGTCCTTTCGGTCTCACATGCACATGAATGCTAAATGATGGCCAGCTGCTTCTCTCCTTTGGTTTTCATCCTTTGCAGCTGCTAGTTAGACAAATGTGGGAAGATGACTAGTAATTCATGGGGTTCTGTTGATTCTAATTTTCACTTCAGGGCTTAGGATGTGTGGGGTGGGGGTGGGGAGCAGGAATTACACTCAAACATATTTCAATCACCTCTGCTAATGAAAAGGGTCCTTCCTGTTGGGGGAAATGTTTGTGTTGGCTCTGTCAACTGCAGGTTCTTGTATGAATGTATGCTGTCAGGTCAAGGAAATAAAATAACTGCATACTGGAAAAACCTTTCATGGCTTCAGAAACATTGTCTTCATTTAGTAAGCATTAGAATATATAGACTCACTCTGGCTTCCTTGAGCAGAAAATGAGTGGGTATAGCTGTTATCAGTGAATGCTTATGCATGGTCAACTGCATATATGCTTGCTTACTAGTTTTGAGAAGATAATGTCCAAAGGTGAGTGAGGTGGTGAGGTCCTACAACTAGTGTGTTGATGTAAGCATGATTTTTGTCCTCTCAGTAAGTGTTTTGCCACTCTGCTTTATGTTATCAAAGATGAAATTGGAGACTGTATACATTGAGTATCTGTGGGGGTGAGGCAGTACCTATTAAAAAAACACCTAAGGGCTGTCCTAGATTTAGCTGACTCAATCTCAGTGTAGGTGTCTGCATTTTTAACAAGCTCCCATGTGACTCATCTGCACACTGACGTTTGAGAATCACTGCTCTCTGTACCTGCTTTTCCTCTTTAAGTCCAACCACAACTAATTTGTCAGTTCCATCTTGGTCACTGAGGCCATCATCTCCCAAGGTAGCATATGTCACATATGTTCCTAGTGTCAAAAAAACCTCTTGCAAGTCTATTTGTTCAGTCAAAAACCAATATGTGGGTAGGTGATAGAGGCAAGACAAGCAATGAGAGGATTAACTGAAATTCCTTATTGAAGAGAACCTTAAATCCCTTCTTACCACCTTTAAACTGAAGTTATGTCCCCAACTATTGTCTACCTTTGTAGTTTTCTAGAATATATTAATAAAAAAAAATGACCATACACGATTTATACCGAGATTCCAGCCCATGTAGTAGTGACTGAAAGTTAAATCAGGATCAAGAACAAAGCAAGCACCATGTACAGAAAGCTCCAAGGAATTTTGGTTAGATATGGAAACATTAAAAAATAGAGAAAACGCATCTGGATGTTCCCTGAAGAGAAAGCTATGGATGATTGCAGTCACTGAATCAATCCACCCTCTATGAGGTGGATTGATTCAGTGACTGGGATAATTGGGATGGGAGTGTCAGAGACAGTGCGATTGGCACAGGACAGAGCGGAGTTTAGGGCTGTTGTACATAGGGTCGCTATGAGTCGCAAGCGACTCGACGGCACAACAACATCCTTGGTTAGAAAGTCACCATTTTAAATGAGTCCTGTGATTTCACAAAATAGGTTTAAGTAATTCAGCTGTGTTCAGAGAAAACGGCATCCTTGGTACTCCAGTGTTTTAATTGTGAAGTGGTACTCTTATATAAATAAAACACCGTTTTACTCTGGGCATGTTACAAGGAGGGACCAGTCCTTGGAGAGAGACATCATACTTGGAAGGTGTCAGGACAGTGCGAGAGAGGGAGACACTGACTCAGTGACTGAGGTAATGGGGGTAGGTGTATCAGAATTGGCTCAAGATCAAGCAGGGTTCAGAGCTACTATAGTGTCCAGAATTGACTCAACAGCATGTAGCTTCACATCTTTGGCAGTTCAGATCTACTGAGGGAAAGATGGACAGTAGCTATCTTACTGTGATTTACAGTCTTGGAAATGTGATGGAGGCTTACCATGACTTGCAACTGACTGGGTAGTAGTAGTACATTTACTCTTGGGCCACTGTTAGGTAAATTTGGAACTAAAAGTCATTATTTAGGAAATTCCCCTCCATTAACCTGATCCCATTTCCCATATAAAAACAATGAAGAGGTGGATTTCTTGTGATCAGCTTAAATTTACAAAATAGACCCATTATTTTCATTTGCCTAGTATTATACTAAGGGCAGAAATAGGTAAATCCTTAACTCTCAAGTCTGTATATAAGATTTCCAAACATAATCTTGATTTATGCCCCTTATACTAGTTAGTTTACTAATAGTTCTTCTTTCACGGTAACATGTATCCCAACTTGGGCAAAAATTGTA